GATGAGAATGGCGAAGAATAGCCATTCAGTGTAAACTACTCAATGGCTAAAAGGCCTCAATCCGGCATCTAGACATTTTACCACTATGAGGCGAGGCGGAAGCCCCAGGTTGTCTCTAGAAGTAAGGGTTAACACGAACCAATAAATAATTTTGAAAAATATAAAAATAAAAGATAGGCTCATAATACACTAAAACCATCTTAAAATGTCCATAATAGAATGAATTAACAAAATAAAGTCTTAACTTGCAAACAAACATAAACTAAGACAATAAACCAACAAATAATTACTTCTCGAATTAGTAACGATGTGATAAAATACTGCTAGATGGACACCACACAAAAATTACAAGTTTGCTTGCACCAAGCTCGCAGTCAAGTCACTGCATCAGAGGAAGTTTGGATGAAATGATAGATCTGGATAATTTACAATTGTAATTCCCTTGTTAGATGTAAGTTTTAGGTTTGTTTTGCTTGTTTGTAATGAAGGTAGTGTACCTCCAAGTTAAATTTAAACCAAAGATTTCATTCTCTCCTCTTGATGTATCTCTAGAGGAATAACTGAAGGTTTCATTTTTTTTTCCCTCTTCTGTCTTTCAATGATTATTAATATACATGTAGTGATACTAGCAAAACCCCTACCACCTGGCAAACGTGAAGTTGGCTAAAAAGAAAGAAAACAAGAATTCTCTTGTACTATCACCACTGATAGGATTCTTAAGGAATCATCTCACACTTTTTATTCTCCAATGATAGTCTGATGCAGAATGGGAAAGAAAAAGAAGGGAAGGAAGGAGAAGAAGCCGACAAGAAGAATAAGAAGATGAAGAAGAAACGTGATAGGGAAAGAAAACGTGGCAACCGCCAAATTGTATTTTTATTCAATCACCAATTGTCTAAACTGTAACGTAAAACTGCTTAAATAACGAAAACTTAGGCAATTGACGGGTTTGGGCTACCCACTAAAACAAGCCCAATAACAATAAAATCAGAAGATATAAATAAATAAATAAGATCCAATAACAATAAAAGTATATTCTGATGATAATGAAGTAAATCCCGAGGATCCAATGATGTCCGCATAAACTCTCTCGGAGTGGAAGAAAACTCGACCATGTCGAGTGGATAGGTAAAATGGCTACAATCAATCGTCCAACCATAAACTTAGGGACAGGACGAGCGTCCTCCGACGTCGATAAAAGCGTGTTAACGGTGGTCAGGATCTGGTATCCCCACCAATGTCCCCTCGATACGTGGAAGAAGAACTAGGCAAAGGAAAATCCCGCTGACTCTGATAGCGCTCCAACAAGTCTGAGTCAAACTGAGGCCCTGTTATCAACAATTACTAAATCAATACCCAAATCAAATTCACCAAATGAGGCTCGTCTCGTCTCTGCAAATCCTTCTTCTGCTAGTGTCTGTCGAAATAGAGGTTCTAATTGGAGGCAGGAGCCGGCGACTGATGGACTTCAGACGGCAAGAGCAAGCTGCGTGGTGGTGGTGAGGCGGCTGTGTTGTGGTTGGCTTGCGAGAGGTATGGGCGAGGGTAGGTTCTGTGGTTTGTTGCGACAGCTATGGGTTCGGCTTTGGTGAATAATTTGGGGGTTGCTGATTGTTGATTTGGTTGTTGTGTGTCGACAGGTGATGGTTTTGTGGTGTATGGTTTTCGTGGGCGGCTGAAATTTTAGGACAAAACTGGTGCTCGATTATCACTGTTTGGGCAGTTGAGGAAGATAACCAGGTTTTAGCTCTGATATCAATTTAATGTAGAATGAGAAAGAAGAAGAAGGGGATGAAGGAGAAGAAGAAATGTGAAAGTGGAACAAAACGTTGCAACCGCCAAATTGTATTTTTATTCAATCATCAACTGTCTAAGCTATAATGAAAAACTGTTTAAATAACAAAAACTTAGGTAATTGACGAGTTTGGACTACCCACTAATACAAGCCCAAAAATAATAAAATTAGAAGATGTAAATAAATAAGATCCAATAACAATAAAAGTAAATCTTGATGATAATGAAGTAAATCCCGATGATCCAATGATGTCCGCATCATA